AAGATGGCATAGTTTTTGGAACTTGTAAATATTGTGCCACCGTCATTAAAATGGGAGTTTCCGGAGGTTATGGTGGTCCGTAAAAACACCTAAGGTCGAGGCATCCCATTGAGTACACCAAATACGCGGTGAAAAAGAAGGGACGACAAGAAGTGCAAACCCAAATTTCTCGATTTGCTAACAGAGGTAAGGGCGGCCTTTTTGATTATAGCGACGAGTAAAATAAGCAAAAAATGGCCGAAATGATTTGTGAAGAAAATTTTCCATACATGTTTTCTGAAAAACTTGGATTTATTGATGATTGTCAACATGTATTAAACCCTCAAGCAAGAGGTTTTTCAAGAAAAACAATTAAACGAGAAATTATTCGACAGTATAAACTTGAAAAAGCGAATTTGGCAAATTTTTTTCTCAATTTTAATTCTCGTGTTACTATTTGTTCTGATATTTGGAGTGAAACATATCATAATTTTTCGTATATGGGTGTTACTTGTCATTAGATAGATAGTGATTGGATTATGCATAAACGTGTTCTTGCATTTCGTGATTTCAATAATCAGCATACTGTTGAAAATATTTTTCTATTGCTTCAGCATATTCTTCGAGAATTCAATTTAGTTGATAAAGTGTTTGCATTTGGTTTTGATAATGCTACTAATAATACTGCTGCTATTCCGAGACTTAAAGAAATATGTCCCCCGACTACGAGTATGGGTAGATTTCTGCATCAAAGGTGTGCTTATCATGTTTTAAATTTGTGTGTTCAACAGGGATTAGAAACAATGAGGGGGGTTTTGACAAATATTAAATATGTAATTAGAAAGATTTGGGGTAGTCGTCTTCATTCGAATTCTTGGAAATTATTCTGTAAGTCTAAGGGTAGAAGAGCAATAACATTTGTCAAAGATATCACCATTAAATGGAATAGTACATACAAGTTGATAGCATAGATTCTAAGCTACAAAGAGGAACTTGCTGAATATTTTAGGGATGAACTTCTTTTAATGATTTCACCTATTGAATTTGTTATTGTTGAAAAATTGAATGCCGTATTAGAAGTTTTTAATAAGGCAACTCTTACTTTTTCGCATGTTTACCAACCAACTACAAATACATTTTTTAAAGAGTGCGTTACAATTGCAACATGTTTTCGAGAAAGTTTGGCTGATCCAGATTTGTACCCTTATGTCTCTCCTATGAAAGATAAATGATGTGCTTATTATTTGTACATTCTTGATATTTATAAAATATGTACTCCCTCCGTCCCGCTATATTCGTCCACTTTTGACTTTTGGAACTATTCATCTAAGCACTTTGACTCATCAAATTCTCTCAATGTGTAAGCCTAAATATAGTCATGTGTGATCTTGTTTGATTTGTCTTAACATATAGATTATTAATATATAATTCCTATAATTTTTTACTATACAAATTACAATTTAAAATGGATTAAAGAAGTGTATTGGATGGTGTGTAAAAATGAAAGTGGACAAATACTCTAGAACAAAGGTAGTATTATTTGTAATCCACGCTTTAAGATTGAAAATTATAAAATTCTAATTGACTATTACTACAGTTGTTTTTTAGATGAAAATAATTATTACTACAGCCATTTAATAGAATGGGAAAAAGAAAGAGATAATGCTATAACTCTTTTTGAGGCTTTATTTATGGAATATCAAGGGTTATACGGTAATGTACTAGAAGAAACAGCACATCCTCCACCCCCCAAATCAAAAAAAAGTTTTAAAGGAATAGTCGGTGGGCTTCTTGCAAAGAAAGGGAAGCGTGCTCAGCCTCCGACGAGTTCAGGTGGTACAACAGTAAGCTCGCACAACGAACTTGCTATGTACTAAGGGGTGTCATGCGATTACGACGACGACGATGACGTGGAGTTTGACGTCCTCGGATGGTGGAAGCGGAACGAACACATGTTCCCATGTCTCGGAATGCTAGCAAGACAAGTGTTGTCCGTCCCGGTATCAACCGTAGCAGTGGAACAAGAATTCAGTGTTGGCGGCAACATTCTAACCGACTTCCGAAGTTGTCTTAGTGCTGAATCTCTTGAAACACTTGTTTGCAACCGAGATTGGCTCTTGGCAAGACGTCGAGCTCAAGAGTTAGGGTACGAATTCAATTCCGATCATTACATAAATGCAACCACAGATGGAAGTCCGAGTTCTAAGGAATAAGTTATAAACTTTTTTTATGTTAATGTAGATATGTAAATATGTAATTAGTTTTATTAGGTGAGCGATATATAAGCTCCTTCGAGGGTTTTTTTATGGTTCTTTACCTCGTCGCTTTTTTTGAACCGTCAGGATACTAAATGTAGGTGTTCTTCAGTTCGTGTATTACTCATTTTACAATATTTAAATAACAACTACATTTTTAGATTTTTTTAATTCATTCTTTCCTTTAAGAATTGCATATTTATAATTTTACACTTTAAAAATTTAAAAAAAAGCAAAAAAAATAATAATTGGGGGGTGGCCGAAACCGGCCGGTCCGGTACCAGAACCGCCGGTCCGGTACCAGAACCGCTGGTCCGGGTACCGAAACCGGTACCGCCCGGTCCGGTCACGGTACCCGTACCAAGGGGTGGCTGTACCGGAACCGTACCGTGTCCAACCCTAACTGGGGGGAGACTTGAAGAAAAAATTACTCTCCTTTTGTCCCACAAAACATTTCTTGTTTTAAAAAATGAACTTTAAAAATATTTAATTTTAATATTATTTTCTATTTTTTATCCAAAACATCATATCCTTTTTTTGGAACAAATATGCAATTGTATTATCCCCACAAAAGCCAAATACATAAACTTACCGTCTCAAAATCAACATTATCTACTCCATGTACATACTCTATAAATACATATCCTACCATATTATAAAATTATAGCAGATCGAATTAGAAAATAATACATTTTTTAAAGTGTACCTTTTTTTAGATAGAAATTATTTTGTGAGATGAAAGAAGTATTGAATTTCTTGGTGTAAATAGAAATTGATAATGAAGAAAAATATGTGGTGTAAATAGGGTACAATTTGGTGTACCAATAAATAGAGCAAGATTTTTTTTGAGAAATGAAGCAAAATAATATTCCCTCCGTTCCAGTGTATTTGTCTAGTTTGACTTTTTCAAGTCAAATTGGACAAACTTTGAGCTTCAATTAAATAAAAACCGTAATGTATTTTAACATAAACATAACTGTATTGAATTTATCGTATTGAAAACTTTCAAAATTGTATTTCATTATGCTAATATGCAATATAAATTGAGAGTAATTGGAGTTCAAACATTGTCTAGTTTGACTCGAAAAAGTCAAACTCGACAAATACACTGGGACCGAGGTAGTATATTACACAGTAATATAATAGCAATGTAACGTATGAAATAACAATTCAATTTTTTTTTGTTTTTTGAAAAGGTTTTTTTTTGCCTTTATGGAAGTGGCCAAGAAGGGATTGGAGGCAACCAAATTTTTTATGGGGGCATCACTTTTATTTCATTAAAAGAATAAAGATACTCAATGTACTAATAAATTTTTTTCTTAAACTCACTGGGGGCAAGTGCCCCCATTCCTTTAAACATAGATCCGCCCCTGTTCGTTCCATCCCAATTTTGATTATAAACTGAGAATTACGAGGTAAAACTCAAAAAAATTTTAAATCATTTTATTTATAAATTGCTACATCAATAAGAAATAAAAAATACATGTTAAGTCACTATATCAAAAGTTCTACAACAAGAGGTGACAAGAATATTTTATTTTATCAAACAAATAGTGAAAATACACACACAAATAAAATTTATCGAGAAGAGAGAAAATAAAATTATAATCAAAATGAGGACGGAGGGTATAATATTTTTAATTTAAGAAACAAAAACTATGTCAAAAATAATTCAAAACTTTAAGTGAAAAAAAAAATTATTTTATCAAATAATTGATGAAAATGTATATATAAACAAAATTGTTCATAATTGAATATTGTATTATGACATTTTTTTAATCGGAGGGAGTAAATTTAAATATTACTTCCTCTATCTCTAACTCTCTGCCTCTCTCTATTCCAAAATCATTTTCATTTTTCGAATAAGGTGCAAATCTCTTTTTTAAATATGATTTTACCTATGAATTGGTATAAAAATAAAAAATACTACATATTACATATTTAAAAATTGCATCAAAATTTTTACAAAACAAGATAAAATAAGAATATTTTATTTTATCAAATGACCAATGAAACATACAAGTTAAACAAAAGATATCATAGAGCTCAAATAGTAACAGTGTAAATCATTTTGGTGGAGAGAGAATATTTATTTTTAAATTTTCTTATTCTAGATGTTTCTAATTATTAATTTTTTCATTCGGTTTGGTTAAATATATTAAATATATTTAATTATTATTATTATTATTATTATTAATATTATTAGTATCATCATCATCATCAAGATAAATAACTATCACACTTTTGTGAAAGAAGATAAGAAACGTTCTCGCCATAAGGATAAGAGAAATAAATCTGATACGCTACAATATTACCATGCCTTTGTGAATGGCTAGTAAGTGGGTCAAGGGAACAGAGGTTAGGGCCTCAGCAACAAGCCAAGTGTCAAGGTTTTGCCGGTAGGGAATGCACCGAGTAGGGTGCCACTTGGATTCGACATCACAAGTGGTGGTGATGTGACAAGCCAAATAAACTCATACCGCCTAACTTGCAGCACGGAGTCCAATCTCACACAAATGGATATAATAGGAATAAAAGGGAGTGGCTATAGTAAATTTGATTAGTATACCCTTTGTTCCCTACAAATACTTGTACACACCTTCCTAATAGGGGAGGCAAAGCAGAGTGGGATACCACACTACTCAGACAGAACTATAACTAATGCCAACTCAAATATAACAGCTGAGTTAGATATGTTCTCACCTACAATCCTTCCGATATTGTGTTGAGTGTGACTTGTTTCATCTGTGTTAAATTGAGTATTTTACACCATCATATTAGCGCCACTCGTGGGACCTCTGTGTTTCCTTCTCAAAAAAACTATGTCTACCAGTAACTTGGACAACACCACCATCCCCCCCCCCCCTAAATCTCAGTCACACGAAGGGCACCATCATCACCTTTGTGCTTCATTCCTTTAAGAACAACTGCCATAATGACAACCTTGTTCCCCGTTCCTATGGCCACCCCGTCATGCCCAATGTGGGGGACAATTGCGAGGATCACTTTCCCACCAAGCCTAACCCAGCTTTCCACGAACTCAGGATACTCACATGCGTTCTAAGGTTCTGGACAAAACATGTCCATGTTTCACCAACCCAATGGGTTCTCGCCATTCATTCCAAGAATGTATCCTCACGCCTTGACTCATGTGCCGTTTTAGACGTTGCTAGGTCACCCATCACCTTTCTAGCCCAATATCATCATTGGTTGTTCCCACAAACCTGGTGGGGGCTATGGACAAGGCTGGGCGTCCATGAAGACTTGCGCGGATTTGCTCCTTGAACTATTCTGCACTCAAAGGTCTTTTGGTCAAATTTTTCTTATAAGTCGTGACTCAAGAAAAGCGAACATATTCCGAGATCGATACTGTATAATATGTGAAAAGCGCATCACTCTTGATTTCACTCTTGATTTCTTATATTAACTAAACCGTTAGTTTTTTAATATTTGTAAAATTTGTAAACTATAATGTATTCCGTATTAATTAAAGATATTTGTGTAAAACATTCAAAAAAAGTTCTTGCGTTTATATATTATAAAATTTTGTGTATTTTATTTAAAAAAATAAAATAAAGACCCGAACCGTTCCAAAATGTCTCCGTCGCAAAAGGAGTAGGACAAAGAAGAACAATTCGGAGAGTTGAACCATTCTGACTCGTTTCTATTGACTGGGAATGTAACTAAGATGACTAAAAACAATGAATGGATCGTTTCCACAAAAGGACCAATTTCTTTTCTACGATATGATCAAAGGTAAGAAATTACGAACACAACTTCTTGAACTGGCTAAGAAATTTACATAACATCTTGTAACTTACAGAAGATCATAAGTGTCGTCATGATTCCCCCCTAAAAGAACTGAACACTTTCCTTGTTGAGCTCAAAAAAAGGGATAAACTACACACTACTACCCCCACACAACTTTGTTCCAACTACAAATCAGTAATGAAGAAGTGAAGCAACCTTACTCATGGCAGCATTGACACGGATTTGGGTTCTCGTCCATGCACTCTCAACCTGTAGATGCATGTATGGGAAATGCGGTCGTGATTGGATGCAAAATCTAACCTTATGGTGTCCACAACAACGGTCTCCGCAGACTGTGCCAGTTTGTAAGTTTGGGCATTACTCTTCTCAAGATCATAGGTGAATTCCGTCAACAGAAACCTCTTGTCACTATGTGAAGTTTCATCACCACTCGTATCTTCACCTTGGAGCCATCCAAAGACCCTGCAGTCCTTGGGAGCACTAGACCTATCATAAGCAACACTCTGTTCAACCCTAAAACAAAGATTGAGTTACAAATATATTTGAAAAAGAGAAATGTATTTTCACTGAACAAAAAAAACTTCTATGTACACTAAAATATCAATTTGGTAAAAAAAACAATATAAGTACGGAGTACTAATTAAGCATTTGGTAACCAAGCCCCCATAATGGGCAACTCTCCATGGGCGGGTATTAGTTTTACAACTAAACAAAAAATGGTGGTGAATTCTCATATGTAAGAGGATGCACTTATGCCACCACAGGTAACAGTTCAAAGTTATAGATAATTACTATCATGTCACTTCCACCTTTATATATGATTCAATTTGTCGATTTTTGGAATCGACCATGTGATTTAGCCAAAACATCAGGATAAGAGAGATATCAGTGACAATGTTTTAGGTATGGGTAAAATGTGTACTGAATCAACATGGCAAATTAAACTTCTTTAGTTTCTCCCTTTGAATGACTTTTTGGATGGTAAATGTAGCAATGCATTGAGGGTTTAACAGAAACCTTCTTTCTTTTACGAGGTTAACGCTCTGTACTGCTTGACCAAACCCCAACGGAATCAGGATTATTATACTGGGTTTTGTTGTTGTATCAAACACTCAAACAGTGGGCTAAAAAAAGACACTAGGTATAGCCATTCATCCTGATATCTTGTGTACTTCAATTTCCCTTCTTACGGCAATACAGTAGTTGCCGAGGTGAAGTTCTGTTTGATTCATATGACCCGGATTTGGTTACTTGACCTAATTGACAAAGCCATGGTGAAAACCATAGGAGAAAAAAAAAGCTTTAAAATAGTAAAGGTACTACGTAGTACGTACTGTCTGAGAATCAACCAGCTAAATAAATAGTATTACATCCAAGTTTGATAGAATAGGATAGAATAGAAAGGCAAAAGACCTTAAAGACATTATAAAAGGAGAATGTGAGGCTTTGAAAATTGATTTCATGCAACATTAATATGTAGATGTTGCTGAGGAGAGACACAGTAAGGCTAGGGGTGAGTAGTCAATAACCAGGTAAAGATGAGGGAGAATTTAAACTGGATAAAATTTCAATAGTTTGAAATGCAAAATAAAAAACATCAACTGCCAAATAAAGAAGACAAATAGAGAGATGGAAGTTCAGGTAAAGAGTGCGGATTAACAACAAACTGGCTATAAAAAATTTTCGAGGTTTGAAATTAAGAAAAAATATTAAAAGAACACGAGTTAAGCAATAGATGATAATGATGAGTAAAAAATGCCGCACCTGATATAAGGTTTAGCTCATTCAATTGTTTTTTTGAAGTGCTCAAAAGCAATCCACATAACAGATGGTAGTAAAAGGGAATATTGAGTACTCATCATATATTGCCAACTAGACAGCAGAAAGTCTTGCCACAATTCTTCATGATATGTGCCCCAAGACCGGGCAATTATAGTTTTATTAACTCTTAAGAAACTCATAAAGCAAATATGATTTACATAGTACTCCCTCCGTCCCAATTTATTCTTCCCATTTGGAAGAACGTGTAAAATCTCATCTCTTTTAAAATGATTTTATTTACAAATCGGTATATAAATTACATCATTCAAAACTACATCAAAAGCTCTACAAAACAAGAGGTGACACGAATATTTTATTTTATCAACGGGTCAATTAAAACATGCATACAAACATAAGTTATCAAGAGGTCGTAATAGTAACTCAAAAGATTAATTTGGGACCGAGAGGGTATAAAGCAACACAAAAAACCAAGTCCTAATCATGATCTATTAATGTTGGGTAGTGGCTAGATGAACTAAAAGTAAATCACCCAAGGCGATCCAACAAAAACATCATTTTTCACTCTTTTGAGTCATGTACCATACCATATGATCACCACCATGTGAATATGTGATACACAACATCCCCCAAAATGATTTTTTTCCTATTATGAAAATATATTACCTATATATTACCAACCAAATCATTAACATTCTCAGCATGTATATGCATGTATGGCAAGAGCTAAATAAAACAAACCCAAAACAAACATACCAAGTATATCCCACTCGAAGGTAGAATTTGGAGTGACCAGTGGGACAATTATAAACACTTCACTACTTCAGAGTTCAGTGTACATATGAACCAATTTTACCAATAAACTTGAATCTACACATCCAATATATTTATTCAAAGCCACTGAACCGAAAGTTCTATGCCAAAAAGGTAAAGAAGGTGAAAGAAGCAATATTCGACACAAAGTTTAACCTTTCAATTCTTAGCCTTAGCAACAAAAAAAGAGTTCATAAGAGGTATCCAGTCAATCAAGTGAAAACAGTGGTGTGAGTGTGGGTGAGGTGAAGGTAAATGCTAGGGAGCGTGTGTAGAGAAAGATCACAAAACATGCTGCAGCCAAATCATAATGAATATATAAACATGCAGTGTCGAGTCTTAGTCTAGGTATTAGCAACAACAGTGTCTGCTGGGTTTTTTTTGAACATACAACGAATTTATAAAGTCCAGCCAATTAAACAAACCAATTTACTGTTCATATTTAATTTGAATAAAAAGTAGTTCTGAACAGAAATTCTTTAAAAACCAGTGCCGAATAGTTGAAAAGTAAATCACCTTAGCAACATGCTCCAGAGTCACAGCTTCTGGAATAATGGCTGCCCTGAGCCTCACTTGGACAAATCCATTGCTCCCTCTAAGAGGCAAACATTGCCCAGGTTCTCCAAAACTTGGTGACAAGATCTTATTGGCATCCTTATGCACAGTGTTCCGGGTAGGTAATGAAATCCAACTGCCACTCCATCCCTTGGAAATGATATAGGGCTGTGAATGCTTCACCACCCTAGCTCCACCAGCAGCCAAGGCATAGTCCATCCACCCTAGGCCATCGGCAACATGTTTTGCAATCTCCCTCTCCACACTCTCCCTAGCATATAACTTTATTTCATCCAAACTCACACCACTGTTTTCACTTGATTTTTTCTCCTTGAACTCTTCCAGGAACTTATCAAACTCTTCTTTTGACAACCAATTTTCTGCTCCCATTTTGGACACAGATGACTCCAAATTCACAGTCCTTTCATCCAACTCATTAAGTTTTGACACGAATTCAGCTTCTTTTGCCTCAAGCTTTTTACTAAATTCACCTTTTACAGGTTGGATTTTATTTTCTAGTTTTCTCTCGATCAGCTCAACTTGAACCTGCATCATTTTAGTGGTCTTCTTCACAAAAACCTCAGCCTCTGCAAATTTTCCATCGAAATCCCCCCAGATAACAGCTAGTCTGTCAATATTTAGTGTGTTAGAATCCATAACCAATCTCTGTACCATTTGAATCAAGCCCATCAGGATCAACAAAAATAACGAATTCTTAGTGAATAATCTGACAACAGTAAGCCATCTCGGTTTCACCCGTTTGGAGACTTTCTTCTTTGTAGCCACACGGCTGGACAAAAGTACGGCGCCATTGGAATTAGGAGAAGGTCTCTTAACTACCGGAACTGCATTGCGAGTTTCAGTCCGTCTGGAAGGATGGCAAAGTTCCTGAGTAGCTTCATCGCCTGTCGCGAGTATATCAAGGCTGGAGGATTGAGGAACTGCTGCGGCGGCAGTCGCTGGGGCTAAGTCGGAATCAGCAATGCCCATGGCAGCGATGGTAGGCTGCACTCTCCGAACAGCGGCCCGACGTCGCGTGACGAGGGAAAGTTCAGAGGACGTGATCGATTGTGAAGTAGCTGACATTGTCAGCAATGGTATAGCGAAACGAAAGGACAATTTGAAGCCATGAAACTAGAGAACCCTAGATATGAATATGAAATAATATTGGGTGAACACTCGCTATTAAAATGAAAGGGATGGCTGGCATTACGAAACCATTTTATGGTTTCCCGCACGGGTCTGGAGATTCTAGACGTGTTCTTTTTCTTAATATTTGGAATCAGGATCAAACACAATAGGTTGGGGTTGTGCTACTTTGTCAATATTTGAAATTTGATATAAAAATATAAAATACATGAGGGGAGGCATCTCACTTTAACTTACAAAGTAATGAAAAAAATAATATATTTATTTAGAATGTCTTTAAAAAAGCCAAAATAATGAAGAAACATGAAAAATGTTACAGCCTACGTCAAAAGTCAAGATATATGAGCCACAAATTTGGGTGGGCCGGGTAAGAACGGTCTGATTTTTTGGTGTTCCAGTCTTAGTCCATTTTTTTAGAATATTTGAATATGAATATTTTTTATATCTATTTTGAAAAAACAAAAATTGTGATATTTTTGTGTCTTATGTCATTATATAAATAAATAAGTAGATGTATACATATATACAGGACAACGGGACGAAACGGGAAAATATTTGTGTATCCTAGTCCTGCCCAATTTTAAAATAGTTCGGAACGAGTTTGAGACAAAATGTTGGCATCCATAACAAAACGAAACATTATAGGAACGGGACCTGGATATTTCGAGTCGGGGCAACAGTTTCAGATTCTTGCCTACACCTAGTTTCCCTAGTCACACACTTTCACCTTCCTTTAGAAATTAGAAATTACTCGTTGAAATTAGGATTGTTTTTTTTCACATAAACACAAGCTTTATTACCAATACAGAGTTTGGGTACAAGCGGCAAACATCCAACCGTCAAACACAAATATTTAAGACATGGCTTTCATACAATAAAGATAACTTCTAACATATTGGCTGGCTTGGACTTGGACTTCTTCGCTTGTCTTCCTTCTTTGGTGCCTAATCTCGTTCCTCCATTTCCATATGAAGTAAACATACGTACCCCAAATGGCCAGCATAATCCTTTTTTCCT